ACTATCGCCTTCAAGATTTAGTGAGAAAGACAAGGCGACGAGACCCAGGTGTACTTTTTCGCATACATAGAGGCTTTCTTCGCCTTCTCTTCGACACTGAGGTACCACGACAGCTTTCGTTGTCTTATTCAGAACATTTTTTTATCTATCGAACGAATATTTTTACGTACATATTTAATTCCACTAGATCACTAGATTATACCATTTTCATAACCAATTTGAGAATGTAAATACTATGCCACTCTTTTTTTCAAAGAAACATAGTAATAAGTAAGAGAAAATATTTAGAGAAGATACATTTATTTCGTTATATGAATGGACAATGCTAAAGAAAAATTAAAAAGTAAATAGCCAATATCCCTTAAACAGCAAGCACTTTTGATTCAATAATCCTCATTGTGCATGAATATGGGAATCTTCAACTTAAGTATGAACATACATAAGTACATATTTGAAATTCAGTTTAGGTATATACCTAAATATGTACAAGCTACTATAGAAGAACAAATAGCGTGCCACCTTTATTAGTCACAGAAGCAAGAAGTCCACAGCGTCAGAGGTCATAAGTGGTTGACAGCATTTAAAGGAATGAAATTTTGCTTCATTAATTACGGAAGAGCATCTCGAAACCCAATATGGCGGAATTAACAATTGTGAAAAAATGTTATTTTATAGTCTTTTCATGGGTCTCATACTGAGATACATACATACAAACGCAAGTGCCCATAATAAGTTATACATATATATATGCTCGTATCTTATTCCATTCAAGTCCTTAAGCATACAAATTGAGGCACAACAAAGAGATGTGAGATGTTGGAAAATGAATGAAATTATTTATTACTCAATGGCTTAGCACTTGCTCAATTTGCCCCTTAGCGCTGCTTTCGGCGTCTAAACGGAGGCCAGCAGCCAGGCGACAATATGACGCCGCAATCCATTTAGTAAACCAAATTTTCAGCATACAAATATTAGGGATTTTTTTTTCAACAAAAAGATTGCGCACCACAAATCAAACACACGTGCATATGTATGCTTACCATATGCGCATTTGGCAAATTAGTTTTAAAAGCCGAATAGTCGTGGAGGGCTATTGAAAAAATATGCCAGCAACAATAGAGAAGAAAACGGTCTTTATAAGATGGGGAACGAATATTTTATAAAAAATATGTGCTTGTTTTGGGTTGAGATGAGAGATCCTTACCATTAATGCCATCGTGTCTATGCAAAAATGCTGGTACTGTATGTATTAGGGTGGTCCAAAATAAGTAAAGTCGGAATTTTAATGCTCTCACCCCTTAAAATAGTTCTATATCGAAAAGATATGCCATTATTTTTAATTTTGAAATCAATGTCTAGAGGTCGCAGAAAGCGCTCAAAGTTTTCCATGTATAAGAAAAAACAACTTTTCATAGAATTGTTATAGAATTCTTGAAAATCAATATTTTTCGATTCGAAAACTTTGCTTTCCCAATAGTAATAATAATAATATCAAACTGTTTATTTAACCCTTTTTAATATTGAAGATTTTTTATTTAACCTCCCCATTTCATTTTCTGGTGCTTTCGGCGGACCTATAAAATATAGTTACTATGAAAAAATGGTTAAAGACATAATTGGTTATTATTATTGGGAAGCTCCTGAAGAGAAGCAAAGTTTTCCGATCGGAAATTACCAATTTTCAAGAATTTTCTACCACTTCTACGAAATGTTGTTTTTTCCCCATAAAAAATACATGGAAAACTTTGAGCGCTCATGCCTCTAAGTATTTTATTGATTTTTTCGGTATAGAACAATCCTAGGGGGTGAGAGCATAAAAATTTGCGACAATACTTTTTCTCACGGATTTCTGGACCACCCTAATGCGCAGGCATGCTTGCAAACACAGTAAATAATTTAAAATTTAAATGAAAATATTCAAAAATATACATAACAACGTCCTTTTGTAGTCCTCTTATTTGTTGTACAAAATCTCTTCAAAATAGAAAACTACAAAATTTTGACACTGGTGTGGGAGCTGCTGTGTATTCAAGTTCTTTGAAAAGAAATATGAAGCCTACATCTAGCCAAAAACCACTTACTGACCATCCTAAATACAATAAAATACCAAGTAAGCAGCAGCAGGAGATTATTTAACAATATTTACTTACATTTTCCATTATAGCATCAAGTAAAAAGGATAAGCTTTGTTACTGAGTTTGTAAAGGATAATGTAAACAAATCGAAACTTGGCTAGTGATTTTACCTGCACGTGTACCCCAATGTCCATGTAATCTAATGACGCTGGTAACTGTGCAGCTTCTATAAGCATTTTTCCTTCATTAGAATAGTTTTGTTTGCCTACGAGTTAAGGGTACATACACTTTGTTTTTTTTTCTTTCCCTTTTCCAAAAATGTACCAGAACTCAACAGTGAGATGGGATAATTGGGAAATATCAATATTTTATAAATTTGAAATTGATTGCTCAATATGTTTTCACACATATACATATGTACATATGTGTAAACATTCGCGCGAACAATGGCTTCCGCACATACGTATGCGTGTTGTGTTAAAACTGTCGCTTTCTACACGTGCCACCCGGCTGTTACGTATACGCACTGTATAACAGCAAGTTGTGTGTGTTAGGACACGCTGTTTTATTGGCCTGAATTCGATGATTAATGGTCGCAAGAGTATTTAGGCCACATATGCTGATTTAACTGTGAGCGTTATTTGCAGAAGCAGTTGGGCATTTTTGCGATCAAAGATTACTACAACAATCGAGCGAAAAATTCATGTGATTTATTTTTATATGACGAAAATGCAGTCAAAGAAACTTAAAAACAAATTGTCTAAATAATAGCAAAATCAGTAGGAGTAAAGAAGCAAATATGACTAAAATTATGCTGGTACAACGCGAAGCTCAATAAAACATTGGTATCGCGAGCGCGACTGCATGCATGCATATGTATTGATCGATAACAACTTTGATAAATAAATGGATACCTATTTAAGAAAGTATATCGAAAGCAATATACGCTGGTACTTTATAGAAAAACATATCGATACATTTTTCGATAGTTATATTGATAACATATATCGAAAATGAACCACAGGCGACTTTGCCTAATCGCTACGACATTAATCCATGCCTGGCGAAGAACCGTCACTCCAGCTAAATAGCTAAAAACTATGTAGAATGTTGTTGTAACAACAACAGCAACAGCGAACTTGATAAGATTTAAAAAAATTTAAGCCTAGAAAATGTATGTACCTACTTAAATCAGGGACCTAACATAACGGTTATTGATGAAAACTATCATTGAAAAATTCACTATGAAGGAAATGTTCTACAACTAAGTAATACATACCAATCGATTTATTTTTTCAACGAAAATCAAATTTGAAAATAAATTTTTATTTTTAATTTGTATGAAAAATTAAAAAAAAATAACTACTTTGGTTTTTATTTTACAAATCCAAAACAACAATTATGTTTGATTTTTGTCTAATTTATATGTAAGTAACAGTAATTTTAAATTTTTTTTATTATATGTCTTAGATAACAGTTATTGAAGACTTTTATTTATAAAACTAACTTTGAGGCTTGTATTTCCTCTTCGAACGTGAAAACGGGTGATTTTTTATTTTCCCACTGGGTAAGTGTAGCACCAATTAATCAAAGGCAGTGTCAGGTGTTGTAGAGAAGACTCTCGTACAGCACACGCCGATTCCCGCACTATTGATTAAGAGTCTGCTCCACAATGGGTCTAATCGTTGAGGTTTAGATTCAGAGGATACTCTTTTGTGACTGACCCCGTGTTTTTCCAAAGAGCTGTTTTCATCACCAATATACCGCCAAAGTTTTGGTGGTTTTATACTCAACGTGAGGTTTGCCTGCAAGTTTAGTATTCAGATTTACTTTTCTTTGGTAAAATCGTGATTTTTTTATCGGTATTTGGAACCATCCCTTTCTGTATCAATATATAATATTTAACTTGATCTTCAACGCTAACTTCAATTAATCTTGCAATTTTGTTAAAGTTGGCATGTAAATATAGTTTTTTTTTTAGTCTTGTCCCAATTATATGCTCATTTTACTCTTTTGGTAAATTACAAACTACATTTTTACTCATGCAAGTGCAATCTGAACAAATCCATATTTATTCTGACTTAACACAAAGAAAAATGTTTGCTATTAGAAATTAAAAAGCATGGGTGAATGTCTATGATTGATTGTTGAAGCTCGTGTAACACACAAAAGTAAATAACAAAGAAAAGAAGCTGCAGACAGAAGCATAAGTTGATAAAATATCGATAAGATTAAAATAAAAACGAAAGCGGCGGGGATGTGTGTCGCAAAATGCATATACTCTTTGTGCATTCCAGGGGTTATTTCGTTTTGTTTCCCTTCAACGCTTAAAACTACTTATTTTTCTTAATTCTCTGTATTCAAATGAGAGCCTTTTAATGCCTAGACCTGTTTGGTTACCCCAGTATAGATTTCTGCGCGCTTCTTCCTCTAATTTAGCCAAGATCGGGAGTGCTCCCTTTCATGTGCCACAGAAGTGTTTTAGGCCAACGAAAAGTATTGACGCTAATTTAATCGAGTATCTCATTTCAAACACGTTTTCAGGCTAAGAGTTTTCAGAATATTCACTAAGTTTGTGTTTTGATATTACCCTACGGGACCTAAGGACCTGATTAGTCGCTCGCTTACGGGTAAATATCGAAGTGTTCTTGTTCCGGTTAATGCGCTTGATATGGAGAAAAAAGTTTATATATCTGTCTAAAACCAGCTTTTTTGTATGGAATAGTTATGAAACTTGAGTTCAAATACACTTATCCAGATACTCTCTTTCATCAATAAACCATCAGTGTGTTAAATTATGTATCGTGCGTTTGGTTATCAAATAGGTTTCGGATATATTAACTACCTGTATAATTATTTAAATTACTACGTTCAATTAAGGCTTTTAAATTTTTTATGAAAACTGGTTATTCTCTTTTATTTCAGGTTTCTTGGATACGCAAAAAAGATTATCATCTACTGACTGTGGGGTTGACCACCTATAGCAGCGATGAGCGGTTTAGCGCCACACATTTAAAACATTCAGAGGTAAAATGAATTAATAAAACGTTTTTTTAATTTATACTATGTTATACGTAGCAAGTTATCAAAAGGGCTTAAAACGAGCGTGGCAAATTTAGGACTAATGTTAAAAAAACGCAGATTTTATTGTCGATTTCGATAGAATATGCCTTCGTTAATATTATTTGTTTCGCAACTTTTTTTTTTTTATTGAAGAATCTCTTTGAATAGGGCGTTAGGATAAAAATTCGAATATATTGTAACTTTCGCAGAATATCTTTTTCCTAATAATATTTGCTCTGTAGATTTATTTTTTTTAAAGAAGAAAGTCTTGTTTTGAAGTTATGTATTGCAAATTTGTATACTAACATTTTTTTAGAAGCTACAGTATACGAAACAAAGGAGGTAGCCCGGTGCACTGCAAATGTTAGGTTTCGTACTTCACTGCGCATTTGCATTTTACTAGATTTTTAAAAATATTAATAGCGTTGTCTTTGATTAAGTAATGTTGAAAATGTGAGCACTACAGTAAAGAACTATTTATTTTCGAAAATGAACTAAGTAGTAGAGGTGTCGGCGTACACCTACATAGATAATACCATATAAGATTATTGGTGTTATACATATGTATGTACATATGTACGTTAGGCCTATGTCCTTTTTCCAGAAATAAATATAACATTGACGAGAGGACTGGTCGGTGACGAAACAACATACAAAATTAATGTGTTTTGCTAAAAAATGCTGCCGTAGTGAAGTCCAAGAAAAAAATTTGTTCTGTTATTCTTCATTATTGGCACGGTAGCCACCTAAGCGATTTGGCCGAGTCCAAAACAGCACCCCCGTCGTTTCCCTTTTGTGCCAATTGGAAATTCCAAGAGAATCCAAGCAAATTCGAAGCGGAAAAAGCATTTTTACCGATAATGTCAATGCCGTCGGCTTTCTGATCTCCAAAATCAGATTAAAGAAATCACACGAAAAGGAATCAGCTTATCTGAAACCCCGTTTGATATCAAACGGTTCAGTGAGGTCCTTCCCAATTCTGACAGAGCTGGAATTTGAGGTAGTGTGGAATATTCATGGACTTAAGCTAAATTGTAGAAATTGTTGATCAACTTCAAAGCCAATATCTCAAGAAATATCGATGTTAGCCATTTTTTGTTCTAAAACTTTTTTGTAGGAAATCGAAAGTCCCACAAGTTTGTCATTTATATTTTTCTGTAGCTCTTGTTATTTTTGAGATATGGGCACAAAACGAGAATTTCATGGAAAAACTGGGTTTAGTGACCCGTACTACCTCGCAGATGGGAGTTAGGATTAAACCGCAATGGACACTTTTGTAGAGCATTCAATTCTGAAGAAAACCCTTCATTGACTGAGCTGTAGACTTTAAAAAAAAAAAACTCAAAGTTTACGTGTATTTTATTATATGGGAAATCTTTGCACGCCTTGGGCGAGTACTTAATGTTAAAATTAAGGGTTCAAATTTTCAGGGAGATTTTTTTTTAGGTGTTTTCCACAAAATTTTTGAGGTAGGAGTAAAAAAAACAATAGTCGCAAAAAATCGCCCTGATATATATGTTTTTTTTTTTGCAGAACAAATTTTTTTTTTGAGATTTTCCTGCGGGATTTTTTTTTCGAATTTCGAAAGATACATTTTTTTTTGTTTTTCATCACTCCTCATCCTCTCCTCATAGGTATATTTAACTTAAAAAGATGCATATGTCTAATGTACATATATCTAGAATTACTAAATTCATCCGCTGAACCGGATTCACGCATACGTGCAACACTTGCCACACGCGTGCATTTGTGAGTGATGTGGAATTGCATCACGAGCGCAATAAATGTTGCATGTTGCACATGTGGTCAGCACCGTTGGCCGCAGCCAGCAATGAAACGTGACTGACATTACGAAAAAGTCGCGCACACCAAACGCGAAAATCACCTAAAGCCTAGTGGGGTGGTGAGGTGTGGGCAGGGAGGTGCAAAAAGCGAAAATTACAAAACAGCAGCAGCAATCAGGCATCACAAATGTGACAAGCCGCATAAGTATATCCGCGACTGCCTGCTGGCGCGTGTGTGCGCGTGTTTGTATATAAGTGTGTGTGACAATTTACACCACGTTGACACTTTGTTGGGGAAATGCCAGCTAAATCCGCAAAAAAAAAAGCTTGAAAAAACTGGAAAATTCGCACGAAAATCTCGGCGAATTAATGTTGAAAAATCGATGTTTTCTTTTTTCTGTCGATTTTTTTTTTTGTCACTGAATTTTTCCTCTAGCCGCTATTCCAGAGTGTACGCTAGTAGCTTATAGTCAACACTTTTTTCGTCATACTTTTTTTCTAATTTGAAGTTTTCTGCATTGTGCAAGTAAAGTGCATTAGTTTGTTAGAGACTCGCGCAACACTAGCCACACCAAAAATCCATTGCCACTGATTGTGTGTAACTTTTTATCCAACAGAAAAAAAATAAACATAACGCACATACATATATATTTTTTACAACTTTTTTTCAAACCCTTTCACATTTTTGCCTCTTTTCATGCTTGAATCAATGATCCACAATCGGAAACTTCGTCCTGCCATTGCGCTACTGCATTGCCTCGCTCCAACACTCGATTGTCCAATTGAATCGTGATGTGGCATGCCACAGGATTGGACGCTGCAAATAAAATTCGTGCAACTACGTGATGCTGGCGTCTACGAGTGTCAAGTGTCAACCCATCCGCCCACATCGATATTTCTGCATTTGAATGTTGTCGGTGAGTATCGCCAATATGTATTGTATGTAAGTACATGCATACATACAAATATATACTAGTATGTAAAGTTGTAGGCGTGCTATTTTGTTGGTATATATGTATGTCTATGCATGAATATATTGCAATTCTGTATATCGTTAAGAGCTGCGATTGGTATGTGTGTGCAGCAATTGATTGCATCAAATTTAGTTGATTGTCTGCTCTGCTGCTGCTACTCCTACTGCGCACTGCTACTTCTTAGTAGTGCGTGAAGACAGCTATTTTAGATTTGTGACCAAGCAAAGGAAATAACAAGTAGAGATAAAGTGAAAGAGCAAAATCACCAGCACGTTTCAGTCAGTAGATATATGGTGCTCGCTGCTGAATTAAGTTTACTGCAAAAATTCTGATTCAACAAAGGGGAGTGGGGAGTCGTCAGAAAGGCGAACGTGTGAAGCTTAATGCTACGTAACACTCTATAAATAAGTTGTCTACTGAGTATGAAGATTGAATGTTTATTTTGTATTACTACGTAAATTGCAACGCTGTTCGGTGGCGTATGATAGAAATTTTTTAAGAAGATTTATTGTTGAGTACATACTCTTATCCAAGCTTATTGAATAATAAAATTGGTAAATTGGCTAAAAGCTCTATAACCTAATTTTTAATGAAATTGAAATCTGGCAACTTAGACGTTTATAAAACTAATAAGCACCAATATTAAAAAAAAAGTATGAAACGAAATGTTGAGAGTACTTTAACTAATCAAGAAGGTTATAAATATAAACTTGCGTACCTCGAGTGAGACATCAACGTCGGACCACATGCAAATTTGCAGAAAAATCCTATAAATCCTCCAAAAAAAAAACTTGAGTGCACTTTTGATTCTTTAAGGTGGAGGGCGGTAATAGTCCCATGTGCCCAATAATGGCTAGTGATGTTTTAGCGGAGGACTAGGATCAGAAAACTGTTGAGTAAAGTAAAACTATGAGTAATTGGAAGACGCGCGTCACAAATCGGAAAACGCTAACGTGGTGAAAATTGATTTTGAGAGAAATCACTTGTATATCATTAAGCTTGTGTAAGGCAGTGTCTCTGCTCACTAGCGTGCAATTCGAAAGATCCGAATATGAGTTCTGGAGCAGCAGAAAACTTTTTTCTTTCCTTTAATTACATTTTTTTATAATTTTTTATTTAATTTTTTTCTAATTTGTGGATAGTATTATTTTAAAAAGAAAAGTATATATTTTTTCATTAAATTATTTTTTTACTCTTATTCTATGTATCTTTTTTGTTTTAATAATTTTTTTTTCTTTATTTAATTTTTATAACATCTAACATTCATTGAAAAATAATGTTTTTTAAATGTTTTATGGGCTAAGTTTATTTTGTTTTTCTTAATACATTTTTTTCTTTATTATTATTTATTTTTATTTTGTTTGTATAACAAAGATATATTTTAATTTCATTTGATTTCTAGAAAATCCTTTATTTATTTTTCTTTTGTTCATTTAATTTTTATTGTTTTTTTTAGTTTGTTCCTTTTTGAATAAATTTTTTAATTTTAATTTTAATTTTAATTTTTAATTTTAATTTTTATTGTTTTTTTTAGTTTGTTCCTTTTTGAATAAATTTTTTTCCTGATTAAATTTTATTTAAATTTTTATTAACTTAATTTAATTTCTAGAAACTCCTTTCTTTTGTTGATTTCACTTTCTTTCAATGTTTACATTTTATTGTTAAAAAAATATAATTTTTTATTTGATTTCTTTTTGAGGATCTTATTTTATTTTTTTGTCTTGTTTTAATTAATTTTTAGATATCGAATGAAGGAACATTTTATTTTTATTTTTAAATTTTCAAGTAATATTTTCTTTTTTTATTTAATTTTTTCCTTTTTCAAACTTAATTTCTCTCTTTTATTGTAATAAAAAAAAAAGTAAATTTTTTTAATTTCATTTAATTTTAAAAATAATTTTATTCATTTTTGCTTCATTATCATTTAATTAATAATTTTTAATTGTTTTTGATTTATTTATTTTTTTAGTTTTTATTGTTAAAAAAAATATATGTAAATTTTTGTTTAATTTAATTTAGTTTTCAAAAATCGTGGTGGCGTTAGCGGATTTTACAATTAGTCGTTCAAAAGACAGTGGTGAGTTGAAAGACAGTTGCCAAAATCACCCTGTTAAAGAAATCCAGGTGCGAAAACGATAGAAGATACAGAACACGCCTTTTTCGGGCTATATATGTATTTAGCGGGCTATTGTGGGCCTAAATTTGGTGCGCCGACACTCAAAGAGAACAAAGCCTTGCAACTAATGTTACCACTTTAAAATGAGTGCAATTATCCTAGTTCGACTTTAGCTCATACAAATCGCCAGAACCTAACAAGATTTATTCTTATATCCAATAGTGAGAAACGAAGCATATAATCCCAGTCTTCTCAAAACTCCACAGAACATCAATCCAGTTTTTTTTCTTAAAAGACATTGACAAAATCCCACAACACATCAGGCCATTCAACCTGAGCGATCACGCTCTGAAAAGGAAATAATTTTCTTATCAAACTGGCAAATCTACTGGACTACTATTCGCAGCCTCATTTCAAATATTTGTAACCACGAGAACGAAAAATTGGGCTGGTATAAGTACCTAATCTGAACTTAATACAATTGATATCAGCGGATAGCTAACCCATCCTTTCTAAGCAGAGATCTCTGTGAGCTGGACAAATATCTTTTCGCTACGAATGTATTCCTCTCGATATCCTCGCAATATTCCTACATATGAATGATGAATAACGTAAAAATCATTAGCTTATACATTTGCTATAAATGTGCGAATATTTTAAATTATAAACTAAAATCAGCTTAGTTATAAAATGAAATGAAATCCCTTTTAAACAAATAACTGATTTATTCGATTCACTTAAGTATTTATAAATGTGCATTTAAGCATACATACATATGTACATATGTACATATATGTATCTACGTATAGGTATTAGTGAAACCATGCAACAGCTATCTGGACGGACATCCATTGTATATATTTGTATAGATTTTGCAAGGTGGAGGGCAAATCACGACATGGTAAATAAGTATTATTTGCATTATTTTGCATACATACGCAAATAAAAAGGGAAAATAAAGTTTTTCACACACACACACACACGTTCATTTAAAGCTTCGGTAGCTCATTGTTATAATACTGAATGTAATTTACAATAACCTAACAAAATTATTGTGTAAAAGAATATTACCGTTAAATCGTTGCAAATTTTAACTAAGGCTTTTAATATTTATTTAGAAAGTACTCTAGCTTCGACCGTTGCATGCACTACTTAACTGCATTTTGCGCTTAATTGCAAATTATTTAAAACAATAGCATCCAAAAAACAATGCTATTTTGAATGCGCTTCATTAACGAAAATTTAATTTGTAAGCGCATAAAATGCTAATGTGTTGCCATGTTTCGCCAGCCTGATTACACCCGCTGTTGCAGGTGTGTTTTTATTTGCGATCAACACACAGCTAACTATACAAATTCACGTTTGCAACAACAAAAGTAAAGTGCATATACACTATTTGTTTGTTTGGCATACTTTGTGGCGTAATCGCATATTCATTATATTCACCATGCTGACACACGCACGTACACACCAACGCAAATACACTATGAAACGCAAATACACACTACATAGCCTGTACCAGAAAAAAAAAATTCTACGTACACCTTAGAATTTAAAGTTTTTATTTTTTCTGGCCGATACCGCGCCTCATACATTTTTCGTCATATCTTGGGAATCCACAGTCGTCTAAAAAAAATTATATCGAGATATATAAAATTCCACATTCATGGAGGAGGGCTGCCACCTGTTTAAAAAATAAAATTCTGCTTGAATTAAGTTACCCATTTGTTTGAAAATTTTTACTTAACATTGGCAGGCCTAAATAAATTTCAGTTTCATAATATTTTGAAAAGGGTTACCACCTGTTTGTATAGTCAAACTTAAATTAATTATTCGCAAGCTATTTGAAAAATTAGAATATGGTTGTCAAAGAAAGAAACCTTCGAATTGAACATTTAGAATATTATTGAGGTGTTTTACTAGGGTTGCCACCCGATAAAAAATTGCATTCAATTAATTTAAATGAATTACTGCAATATGGGTGTCAATCGAAATATTTTTGAAAATGGTTTTAGTTCTAAACTTTATACGGTAGCCACCTATTTGAAAAATCCAATTCTACTTGAATTAAGGGAATTAGATAATTGGAATATGTATCAATATATGGGTGTCAGAAAGAAGGGGTTTAATAAGATTTTAGCTTAAACTATTTTAGAGAACGTTGCCATCTGTTTTAAAAGTCGAATTTAAATTAATTGTACTCTAATTAAAGTGTCAAATGTAAGAGTATAGAACCCATAAAAAAATGTTTAAGGCGAATCGAAGGTGTGACACCAAATTTGGTGTCCCATATGAAAAAGAATGGCTCATGTATGCTTGTATTCACATTTTTGTTTGTTTGGCAATGAAATACAAGTACATACATATATTTATGAGGCCACATTGCTTAGTAGAATTATTGTGCGCATTTAATTTAGGCCATTAATGTTGCTAATGCAACCATGTGCAAACTAAAATCGTAATAACAATAAATTTGAATTTGTATATTTTCTACAAATAACGAATAGGAAATGTTTTAATGAGCAACCATAGATATAATTTACACATTTGCAAAAAGCGCGAAAAGATTTATTACAAATTTAAATATGCATTTAAATGGCGATGGGAATTTCATAGCCAACTCAAATATAAAACTCTCTGCTCTACCAGCGCCAACATTTAACCCTACTGCCAATGCACTTCATCTCTTCGGTTGGCAGCGCGCTCATGGCCACAAATTACTCTTTTTACAAACACACTTAATGTGGCGATTATATTTACATACATGCTGTCATATGTACATACATACATATGTTTTTGTGTAGGAGTGTGGGCTTATGCGTGGGTGGTCGTGCAGGCAAGTGCTGCACCATATTGCCATACGACGCCAGTGACGCGTCCTTGAGCTCATTTTTTTAGTGCACTTAATGGCACAGCGGCTGCACGAGCATATGAGTTGGTGATTTTGTGATTATTTTTTCTTTTTATTTACGGTTTGGTTTAAAGTTACTATGTATTTTCCCACTTTTTAGTGGTATTGTCTAAAAAAAGCAAGAAATATTTTGTCTTTTTTGAGCTTCTATGTTTTAACATAAATTTGAATGCTAACTAACAGTAAAAATTTAAATGTATGAACAATAATATTTTGCTAAAATACTTTAATTAAGGCTTAGACAGGAATGCTTGTTACTTGATAGTTCTTTCTTAATTTCTTTATTTTTAATTTTTTTATTTAAAGTTATAATAACCTTGTGCACAAGTGCGCTCGGGTATAAAAATACTTACTTTAAAATATGTGACGAGTGTGGGCGCAATGAGCTTCTCAGATCAAACTCTGTGTAGTTTCTCGTTGTGAGGGTCAAACAAAAACTGAGTGTTTTTTTTGTATAGAACACTTCCAAACAGGCAGCTACTGAGCGTAAGCAAAGTTAACGGTATTAAATAGCATGGCGAGATAAAACAAAATGTGCTGGATATGCCTTACAGACCAGTTGCCGTCCGACGAAGGGCTAAACCACAGTATATTTTCCATGTATACTTATACTTTTAAGATCCAAGAAAAAAAACTATCAGATAATTTCAGAGACCGAACATAATAGTTATTGATGAAAATTGTCATGGAAAAATTCACTATGAAGGAATTGTTCCAACACTAAGTGATATATACAATATAATATAAAATAACAATTGTTTTTGATTTTTATATTATAAATCCAAAATATCAATTGCTTTTGGTTTTACATTATATGTTTTAGATAACAGTTATTGAAAACTTTTAAATATAAAAGTCATCAATATAAATCAGTCACAGACTTTTATTTTTTAAATCATTCGTATAAAAGTCATTACCGTTTTTCGGCCAGTAACTGAGTTCTAATTATGACTTTTATAAAAAAAAGTCTCGATAACTGTTATCTAAGACATATAATTTAAAAATCAAAAATAACTGTTATTTGCAGATTATCGGGATAACAATCAAAAATTATTGTTATTTTGGATTTATGAAATAAAAGTCAGAAATAACGGTTATTTAAGGAGTAATTAAATAAAAGTAAAAAAATAATCGTTAAAGAGCGATTTCTTAATAAAAGTTGTAACTGTTACGGTCTCTGGATAATTTTATTCTAACGATTTTTACAGAGCAATTTGAACAAAAATTTAATATCCGCGTGTTGGTTTTAATACCTATGATGTCAAAAAAATTTCAATAAGCCAGCATTTGTTAAGAAAAACACGCACTTGAATTCTAATTATTACTCAATGATAAAGTTTCAATGATAAGCCCATTTAAGCATCATCTCTTTTATAGTATCTAGTATTTAAAACATAATTAATTGTATGTAATCCTATGCAATTGGCTAGATATTAAAATTTGAAATTCGATAATAATATTTTAAGAGTACGTGGTAATTAAAGTTAATTGAAAAATTAAAACACTATTTCTATGCAGTTATAAAACTAATGAAGTCAATGTATGAATATGTTTATTGCTTAATTAAAATCTTTTTTTTTATACTGATTCCATAAATTTTCTCTCCACCAACGGCATCAAAAGTCACTTTGCACACTCAATTAAATCAAATGATGCCAAATCAGAAATCACATTTAACATAATTGAATCCGCGATGGCGGTGGGAAATGGTAAATGGAAAACAAAAAAAAGAAAACAGACAATAAAAGCACCAAAATCAAGTTTTGTGGTGCGTATAAATAAATGGGCGACTTAGCTAAGCGGATTAAACTGGTCGGAAGTACGGTTGTTTTGTTTGTATTTGCTAGTTTCCGCGCAGGAAAAAGTCAGATTAATAGTATTAGCGTAGCGTACGGTTGGCGCATTTGTGTTTGCGTATTTGCGGTGACCGGTAGCGGCAGCAATCAGTGTGAACTCAATTTCACTTTTGCATTAGCAGCACCAACGGATAGCTACGCATGTCAATCGCGCGAATAATGCAAATCAAAGCTACACGCACGGAAGTAGGCAAAACGAATGCAAACAATACATGCATATCCCGAACAATCTGCACATGCATACATACATACATACATATATTTCTAATTGCTTTCGATTACTAATTTTCGCCAAATGTATTTTCGATTTAATTTCATGGCTTTGCCGTCGTCGCATCATTGCCATATTCCAAACTACATGCATTTGATTTGATACAACTACAACAACAACAACTGCACTTTAATCAACAAATGCAATTCTGCGATTTTGCCGCGTCGCTATATCGCGCATTACATGGCCTCTGCAATTGACGACTGACTGCCTTTGCCGCTTCGCGTTTTTATCCATTCAATTCGCTTAGAAGCACGCGCCGAAATTACAGGCCCGCCAATACGATATTTGACGCCTGGCTCTACACTGCGCCTGCAATGTCGTGTTGTACAAAATACGGAGGCGTCAGAGTTTATATTTTGGTATCATGACAACCG